CAACTTTAGTGCGCGGAGCAATCTGTGGAGCTGGAAGCTGAGAACTGGCGACTTTGTAGTACAACGTTAGTACGCGGAGCAATCTGTGGAGCTGAGAACTGGCGACTTTGTAGTACAACTTTAGTACGCGGAGCAGTCTGTGGAGCGGGAAGCTGAGAACTGGCGACTTTGTAGTACAACTTGAGTACGCAGAGTATCGGGGGAGCTGCAAGATGAGGAAGATGAGAACTGGCGACTTTGTAGTACAACTTTAGTACGCGGAGTATCTGGGGAGCTGGAAGATGAGAACTGGCGACCTTGTAGTACAATTGTAGTGCGCGGAGTAGCTGGGGAGCTGGAAGATGAGAACTGGCGACTTCATAGTAAAACTTTAGATGCGGAGGACCTGGGGAGCAGAGACCCACACAGACAGGGACTCATACACACACACATCACACACAGAGACCCACGCACTGCCTCAACTTACTCGGACACACACGCACAGACAGAGACTCATACACACACACAGACATAGATACACACACACAGAGACCCACACACTGCCTCAACTCACTCGACTTAACACTTCACACTGAACACTTAACAGATAACTCACACTCGGACTTCCTACGTGATGAAAAACTCACACTCGGACTTCCTACGTGATGAAAAATGCTTTCGGGCCACTCGTCGTCTAGTTTTTTGACCTCCCTGCCCCTTCTCACCTTGATATCTCTCACAGAGGAACCTTTGCCCACGAGGACGGACCTCAGCAAGCGTCGGTTAAAGATGATCACCGACTATTTGGGGAAGGTCTGCAAACTAATCATCATCCACTCTTACAGTTAATGGGATTTATCCCATGGATAAACACTTGAACAACGCTGTGCTGTGAACGAAAATACCAAGCCGCTCATCCTGAAGTCAGCTGGAAACATCACTTGTCCCGATGATTTGGCACGAATCCACCCATACAGCCGGAACTGGTGACGTCCTGAGGTTCTTTTCCGAGACAGGTGCTGGGAAACATGTGCCACGATGCCTGGATTTGTTTCAGAGGCGGCGTTTTTTGCAACAAATCCTTGGGGGGAGCTCTACTAGTTGGTGAGTTAGTAGCTGTAGACTTTTCAGCAAACCATGAATGATCCTTCCCTTTTTGTTACATTCCTTATCAAAGTCGGCGCTTGTGATGTTCACTCTCACATGGTTTTTGTTACGTTTAACCACGGCAGCAGCATTGCAGCATGCTTTGGTGTGTACGGCGTCATTACCAATGTTCGCCTTTCACCAAAACGGTTGCTTTGGAATTCGTGTTACCGCATTCCCTACATTGTTCTTGTTTACGCAAGTTTACACACACTTGTCCATTCGGAGTTTTTGCAGGAGGGAGTGCGGGGGTGCTATTTACAGTTGACCACAAAATCATGACTATCGGCCGCGTTTCTGCATGACACGTTCGCAGATCGGAAGCAATAGTTCAACGCCCCAAGACAACAGCAACCTTTTGACGGGATTCACTTTTCTGAAATTTTTTCTGCTGATGACATCTTAGGGGCCAACACTCATTGTATCAGTGTATTGCTTCACGCTATTGAGCGGCGCTTTTCCTATTTCGACTTACAACTTAACTAGGACTATGAGAAATGCATCAATCTGACTTTCCAACCAGCGACAATCCTCCGCGGAAAAACACGGCCTCAAGACTTGGAACCATGCTGTCAGACACTTTTGACAACAAGGAGGACGTCTCAAATAGACTATATGACTATATAAGTGTTTGCATTGCCGCGTGCAAAAGAAAATTAAAACCAGCGTTAAATGGAAAATCACCGCTGTCGGATCTAAACTCTTAAAGTGGTCTTGAATGCATTCATCTAGCCTCGGCTGAGAATTCGCAGCTAAGTCCTTTTCAAAACTAATGCCTGAGAAGGATTTTGGTGTAAGGGCCCACTGCTTTGTGCATGGCCTCAAGCCACGCTAGACAAAAGGCTACTATTCAAACTTTGTCAAGATGCTCTCGCAATCAACTGCGAAGCCATGTTTTTCTGAAGGCCCTAAAGTGAATCTAAGGATGCGTGATGGTGGACTTGGAACCAACGGTGGCTAAGTCCAATCAGGGCAGGTGGGGCTAGGCAAGCATTTTAGGGCATGGTTTCCGGCCAAATGTGGTCGAACAGTTCAACACCCAGTTGAAAGGGGATCAGAAAAGCCGTGCTGTGGCACTTTTTTCGTTGTCGAGCCTTGGCCGTGCTGATTGCCAGTTTTGCACCTTTCGTAGTTTTCTTTTTCACCCGCCTAAGGTGGTTGACGAGGTCCGCACCGGCACCTACCGCCAGTTGTTCCACCCCGAGCAGCTGATCAGTGGAAAGGAAGATGCTGCCAATAACTTCGCACGCGGACATTATACCATCGGGAAAGAAATCGTGGCCTGCTCAAACGATTTTGTTTTTCTCAAATCTTGGGCGATGAGACTTGAAGAAACATCAAACAGTCAGCCGTTGACACATTTGTGGTTTCGTGCTAGTTGGTAGACTGCCAACGGGGTCACCTTCTCGGATGGTTCGACAAGGTGTTTTTCTCGTAGGTTTCGATCATCTGGAGCGTTTCTTGTTTCTTGATGTGTCTTGAACAACAGACCATCAAGGTTGACTTGGTGTTGGATCGCATTCGCAAGCTCGCGGACAACTGCACCGGTTCCTTGCTCCTGTCGTCGAGCGAACGGTCTGTGAGCGAACAAGATGCGAATGAATGAACGCGTTTGAGTCCTGACAGTCCGGACGAATTTTGGGAAATCCTGCCGAAAAACAACCCAGTGTCCAACTGACGCATGGATGGATAACGATGAAAAACATCGCATCTATGGTCCTATCCACTTCTACTATAGTACCAGACAAACTTCCGGGATCCCGGATTTTGTGACATATTTGTGTGGGTATCTATCAAGCAGGAACTTCATTCCGCCAGGCACTGTTTCACTGGTGGCACATGGTTTGTCATTTGGGTGATGTTTGTTAAACTTGATGGTGTCGGTGTGTCAGGTTCCACTTCCGTGGAAAAACACACGATTTTTGTTGGGTCTTCTTGTTGTTTTTGTTTGACATTATTTAACCGCTGATATTGACAATTGTTGGAGTCTTGTTCGTTGTAAACCACGTTTGTGAGCAATGCACATGGCCATTTGCAGCGTTGCTCTTCGCACGCCACGAACAAAAGAGGTTTGCAGGGATTCTGCGTCTACAACGCTTGCGGCGGTGGAACCGGCTCTGGCCTGGGCTGCCTCATGCTCGAGCGCCTGTCGGTGGATTATGGCAAGAAGAGCAAGATTTCCTTCACAGTGCCTAGCCTTAAGGGCAGCGCTACTAGGAGCAAGAAACTACTAGTAGCTCCTGGCCTTACTACTAGTCACAAGAAACTACTAGGGCCCTTCGTCATAACCCTTCCCATTGAAACACTGGACACGAAGAGTTCGCCCCACGATCTGATGTAACCGTTGCTATCCGTCGAAATCAGGTGTGGTGTTGCCCTCAAGTGGCCACTGCGGTGGTGGAGCCCTATAACACCGTCCTGCGCCTTCGGCCAGAGGATGGCCGTTTGCGGATCATTCTCTTCCTGTAAAGCACATCCGGTCCCAAATAAGACCAGTGCCCCTGCATAAAACGGTTCTACAAGTTCTAAGTATGAACAATCGTTGGTCATTCTATAAAGCTCCAAATGCTTCCGAACCTGACCCCTTATAGAACTTTTGGTTGATTGGTTGGTGTCCATTTTGGCGTCCATCTTGCCCCCTATGAACCCTTGAGAGCAGGGTGGGGTCAACCATTTGATCAATAGCTCAAATATGCATACAAACAAGGTCATTTTGCTTGGTTTTGCTTGTGGTCTTCCCAGCATGGAGTTACCGGTAGTAGGTCCTACATCCAACTCGTAGGGTGGATGTCACGAAAGGGGTTCGACGGTCCAGACACTCCCCGGAACTCGAAAGTGGGGTAACTCATTCTATGCGAAGACAAAAAGGTGGTGGAAACCATTGTATTGCAACATGGGGAGTCCAGGTCGACCATGGGAATTTACATGGAGGACGAGAATATCATATCTAATATATAATATATATATATATGTAATATTATGTTATAAGAGATTTGTGTTCAAATCAAACTGTAGGGATGAGATTAGAGATTCATTTGTGGCATGGGCTTCGACCTACGTGAGAAGATGTGGGCAAAGACAAATGCTCGGATTGACACATAGCGTTCAACTGATGGACTTTTCACGTAGTACCAAGAACAGAGTTTCTGATGAAGCACGGTGGGAGGAAAGGAACTATTGGTCTCAGTGGTCATAACTCTCTCTGGAAAAGATTGGAAACGTGGAAAAGTGTCTTCGGGTCTTCACCAAGGGCAGAGGATGAAGTCGAGGTGTCGGCTGTGGTTGAAAATAGGTGTAGTCGACACACACGTTGTCACCGCTTGGTCAACATGGGAACCGGCTGCCTCAATGAAGGGAGGACATGCAAAATGAGTGGAATTTTCTAGGTGCGTGCACTCCTTGCTGGAGCACACAGATGTGACCATCATGTATGACAACGAGGCGCTCTATGACTCTTGGCCTGGGGGAACCCCACTTGGTGGTGCTTGGATTTGCTGGTTGTTGGGACTTGGACGATTTGACAGTCTCCCCACAAGGAGAGAATCAAACGATGTTCCAAGACTTTTCAAGAGGGTGCTTGATTTGTCCATTTAGTTTTGTCGTCACTTCAGAAGACCTGTTGATCAGTTCCCCACAAGGGAAACGGACGAGTTCTGCAAAACAGCTTTGTGGTCAACTGGATGACTGGCTCAAAACCGGGGGACCCCGCTTGACCACGGAAGATGAACAGAATAGATTACTAGGGAGGTCAACCTTTGTAGGCCGACAGCCAACTGTGTTTACCGACATCTGGATCTTCTTATGTCTTCTTGCTTTTTCTTTGCTGGTCGGAACGCCAGGTTTTTTTTGATCATAGAAGTTCAGAGCCTTGCTCAGCGAGGGACAGCAAATCTGCGCCGCTATTCTGAAAAGGTAACAGAAGGCAGGCTGTTGTTTTGACGATGATTGACGTGTACCAAAGCCCGAGGCCCCTTTTCAATCTTTCAAAGAGGAGCCCTTCTGGATGCACCTACAGGAACACCGTTTCACCGCTCCAGGGATGCTTTCCTCAATGCTTTTCCGTCTGAGCTTCATGTGCTTCAGAGCCTCAGGATATTTGCCGGAGGAACTTGGACATCGAGCGACCCACCTACACCAACTTGAACCGACTCATCGCTCAGATCATTAGCTCCCTGAGCCTTCGATTGTCATCAGATGGGTACGGAGTGGATGCTGTTGAGGGATCTTGCGAGGGATCAGAGATGGCACAGCTTTGCCAAGTTCAGTGCGCCATTGTGCAATGTTAAATTGACTGCCTCACGGAGCCTTCTCGCGCCGATAGCCCCGCCGATAGCTCCCCGATCTGTGCAAGTCGTCAAAGAAAGTTCTGGATGGAAGATGATGATTTTTCTATCCAGTAGGGTCTTCCAGCATGCTTAGTAGCAAGTTCAGTCAGGTGATGGGTGAACCAAGCAGATCAAGACAGTGGTCTTTTCTTGCTTGAGGGGCATCAATAAGAAGATGCTTACAACTGTGGTCTTCCGTAGGTGAAGAGCTCTCATCCAGACATGCATTCGGTCCAGTGTTGGGAGCTGATAAGAGACGCTGGCTTCTGACGTGTCATTTATGAATCGATATAAGTATAGTAACCTAACTTGATTGACGGAGCATAGGTTGAATTGGAGAGGAGGCCTCGAGCTGGGAAGTATAAAAAAAATTATCAGAAAGAGCAGAGGAGGTCCTGCAATGTCTGGACAGTCCACTACCAATGCATTGTACCATTGATGCTGCTGAAGCAACAAGTCTGAAAAGTACAATACATCAGGAGCAGAGTGCACTATTCTTTCACAGACGGCTCTCCTTTTACCCTTTCTACCAGGTGAAGCAAGAGGGTTCTCAAATTCATCACACCCAGCAGTCCCCTATGCAACAGTATGAGAGCCTCATCTGAAGTGATAGCCCAGAATCCTGACATCTCCAAGTTCTCGGTCTGGAATACAGCAGGAGCAAGGTAGTGGTCATGTCGTCAATTCGAAGGGAGCACCAAGTGGGAAGCCAATTGTGGGACTTGTCGGACTTGCAACAACCTCGTTGTGAATTCAAAGTGAGTGTTCAGGACAGCCTCCCTTCGCTTCGATGGTGCCTTGAACGTGGATATCACCGAATTCCAGACCAATTTGGTTCCTTATCCCAGGCAGGGCAGCTTACGGCAGGTATCATTATATAAACTATTTTTATTGCTGTTTACTGCAACAGTCGGCACAAGATTACAATTTTTTTGTTTGGTGAAGGCATCGACAAAGATCAGCCACTGTTGCAATGACAGCAGCTGTTTATGAGACTGGCACATCCATGATATGTCCGAGACTCACTGAGACTCACTGTTTACCTCCGATCTGTGGATCACCCAGACTGCGACCGATTTTTGGGACTGTGGGAGTGTGTTGTGGGACATCCTAGGAAGTTGTTAGCCCGTTTGTGACCATCGACGTCTTGAGAAAGGTTTTTTCGATGCGTTTTGAAAGGTACTTTTCTCCGGAGCATTTTGACCGTTGTGCCATCCCACTGTGATCATGAATTGGACCTTTGATCAAGCAGCTTCCCCACCCACGATCAAGCTGACTTTTTGTGAGGATTGATGTGCTTTGGGTATCTTTGGGTGGCAATCATTGGAGGTAGACTGTGGGTTTAGGGAAATTTTGCCACTTTGATCCAAACTGCAAAGCATGTTTGACATGGGTTCCTACCCCTATTGACCGGGATAGACTTGGCCGGGTAGGAGATGGAGACAGGATCCCCTTGCTGGACACCCGAGACAGCCATGAGCCAATGACCCTGGAGAGGATCCACTTCATGCTCACCTCCTACGCCCCTGTCATCTCTGCTGAGAAGGTGGCTGGTGATGGATCGACTCGGGCAAGATCCGAACTTGAACTTTTGGTTTGACTCATACGGTTGAGGAACCCACAAGCAGAAAAGATCATGTGACTATGGCTTGAACTTGGCAGTGGCATTGCCCGCTTTGAGCACAACACCTGCTTCATCCCGCTTCTCCCTACTCATAGATTCATGCTTTCTCGCGGATGAGTCTGTTTGTGCTTCACTCGCTCATTTTTCACCCAGTCTGTTTGTGCTTCCTGGGCCCCGGCTTTCTCGCCTGGGTTTTCCGCACCAGGCATGTTTTCGCCGAAAAACACCGCACGCAGAAAACCGCCGCTTTCAGGCCTACCATGAGCAGCTCTCCGTGGCGGAGATCACCATGTCGGTCTTCGAGCCGGCCTCCATGCGCCTGGGAGCAGCCGTCGAGCCATCGTGGGTGGGTCACCGGCGACGGGGCTCCGGTGACCACCGGAACGGCGCCGTTTCGGTGCCTGACTTCAAGTTTTTGGAAGCTGTTCTACATGGTAGAACATGTAGAAATCCGAAAGATAGTACCAGAGCCATCCGTCCCTGGTTGAGGATTCACAATCGATTGTAAATGCCAATGACTGGAATAGGTACATTTCCTGGTTTCCAGATGTTGGATCTTGACATTTCATGGAAGGGCCTTTTTCAACTTTTGCATGCTGTTCCTACTAATGGGAGATGCATCCCCGTCCGGGCTCTTGGCTCAAATCCCAAGCGGTGGTTTATTCAATATTTACAGAGATTAGGCATGATTAGGGTAGGGATTTGGGCCAAGAGTCTTTGGGGGGTTCTAGTTCTTTTTTTTTTGACATGCATGTTCTCCCTGAGCATTTTGGGATATTTATTACATTTCATTGTGCCAGGCTGGCCTGCAAGTGTTAAAACACAACCCGAATACTTCAGGTTTGCGGAGGCGGAGGGGTGCTGGGGGTGCTGCGTGTGACTTTTGCTCTTCTCGTCTTTTTCTTGATGGATTTGACCATCAAAGTCGAGATGTTCTGAGGATGGTGAAGTGCGATCCTCGTCACGGCAAGTACATGGCCTGCTGCATGATGTACCGCGGCCGCTCGGTCCGACCCGAGGGGTCTGACTCGGTCCGTCCCGCCCGGTCAGAGGACCTCGATGTTGCGTGGTGATGAGCGTTGGGTACTGTATCCTTCCAGGGATTCCATGCAAGAGGGGCTCGGTCACTGATTTCACTTCTAAGATTTCTCTCCAGTTCTCTACCAGTGAGTCTGGCAGACTCACGTACCAGTGAGATGACCCCCGCAAGTCTCGGCTTTTTGGATGGCGTGCGTGCGTGGAAAATCGCCGCTCCGCGCCAGTGCCGATGGTAGAGGTCAATTATCAGGAACTGGTCATCCACGGCTCTTGTGAGTCCAAACCTCCGCGAGAAAGGTAGCCAGGATTTGGTTCTGGGATTTCAGGTTAGGGGAGTTCAGAACGTTTCGCATAATATGAGGCCTATGAGAAGCCTGTCTCTTTTGCACAGATTTTCTTTCACTCCGATTTCACTCGTTTTTGGTTCCACCGCAGCGAACCCAAGGAGACGTCGTGCCCAAGGACGTGAACGCAGCAGTGGCCACCATTAAGACGAAGCGAACCATCCAGTTCGTGGACTGGTGCCCCACCGGCTTCAAGTCCCGTGGCATGAAGTTAGATGGGTTATATACATGTCGACTTTCAACTTGCAACAGCATAGAAGTCCAAGTCTCTCAATTCAAGATGGAAACACCTTGGACTTGCTCCCAAGGTATCTTAAGCAATAATGCGCCATGGCCAATTATATATATATATATATGTATGCATGTATGTATATATATATATATTCACTTGTGTATATTTATGTTTATATATACATGCATTTACCTGATGCACTTCCTCCTTACACTTGCGGATATAGGATTCCGAAGATCAAAGTCACTTTGTTTTCGTGGCGAAACTGTTTTTGCATATCACCATCGAACGGTCACTCCGCGTCGATGGCATACGGGATACTCTGATCCAGACATGCACTGAACACCCCAATGCAATGTACAAACTCATTTAAGCTGACATGAAGACATGCCACGACTCAATCGTGCGGCCGGGGCCAGCGCACAATGTACGCGCTATACTCAAGAGGATGTCATCATCCCAAAAGGGAGAAGCATTCACAATGGCACTCTGAAACAGCCTCTGAAACAGCCCCCACCACAGGACTTGGCAAAAGTGGCCGAGAACGTTTCCGGGCCAAGTTGTGCTCGATGATCTTGGATCAGGCATTGGAAAGCTTGGCGACTCTTACACATCACCGAATGGATGGTCAGAACCTGGTAATCACCATCGACCCCTGTGACCTGTGGCGTGGGAGAACAACAGCAAGTTTGCAAAATGCCATCGCAGAGTCGTCATCCTTGCACTACCTGAGTTGTTTGGCAAACTCGCATATCTCGTACCAGTCTGCAGCTGAGTACTTCCACCTTGACGGCAGCGGGAGCTTAAGAGGAATTTTGGGTTAACAGCTGAAGTGGGCCTTGATGGATCTTCATCCCCGACGCGGGAACATATTCCTGGCAGCATCGAGAGTCGGTGTGTCATCTCCTCCACCGGTAGCAATGGAGCTTGACGAGCCATTCTTGATGAAGTGTAGCCGCTGCAAGCATATCCTTTGGCATCCGTGGATAAACCGGGGAATCTTCAAGGTGCACCTTTAAACTGCACAGTCTGCTGTTCTATTGTGTAGCACATGCTCAACCGTTGATCCAAGCCAAGCTATGACAGTTGCTCCCCTGCCCGGTTGCCCGGCTGCCCGGCTGCCCGGTTGCCCGGTTCTGAGGGCTGCCCGGCTGCCCGGTTCCCAGGGCTGCCCGGTCGTCCGGTTTGCCGGTTGCCCGGTCACCCCGAGAAAGGACCAATCCCGTCCCGACAGTTGGGTCTAGCATAAAAAGTCGACGACGTCCTCACAAAGATGGGCTGGTATCCAAGTGACCCATCAATCTTGGCACTTCGAATGCTGCTTGACAATCCCAGTGGAAAGAAGGTAATTGGTGTTCCTCACAACCGACTTGTTGTCGCACTGGGCCACCGGATGTGGACAAAAAGCTGTCCACAGCGTCCATAACTCCGCCGCATAACTGGAGAGCCCCCAACGCTTCACT